AATCTTGTGTCTGATCGGGATGAAACTGGGTGAGTGATGGACCTGACGAGTCTGCCGACAGGAAAAGGGGTAGGGAAAGCTCCATAGGTCAGAGAGAAGCGTTCTTTTGAAGTGCAGTTTTCGTCGAGAAGTACGGAGGTGGGCTTCAGTGTCCAGTGAGCTGTGACGTTTCTGGTATGCAGAGTGGAGCTGATGAGTTGAAAAGTAAACGAGAAAAAGTCGGTGAGGAGATTAGATGCCCAGTCTGTGCTGCTGCTAGTGTGCCCGGTGGTCTGACGAGTCCTGACCAAGTGGGTCAAGATTCTGACCAAGATTCTGACCAATAACCAAGGTTCTGGTATTTGCAGTTGCATCCTGCTGTGTTGTTGGTAGCATAGTTAAGCTCTTAGCCGCTACTCTTGCGCTGCTGCGAGAGACCTGCGCTGGTCTCAGGTTTTCACGTCAATTAGTTAGTGATGCCAATTAGTGCTACCCAAATACTGTTGTTCTGCTTTTTCTTTCGCATCCTTTAATCAGTCTTGGGTTTTCTTTTCCGGAAATATTTGCCAAACATGCACCTTCCCGGAAACATTTCCGAGATTATACTTTCCCCTTATGAAGAGTAATTATAGCTCATCAGTGCAGCTGCAAGATAATCCCTGAAGGGTGTACTCACTGCTCAATGCTACTGAAGCTCGCAAGCAAACTGTAGTTACATTGGGTGACTGGACAGTAGTTCGAACTTCCAGCATTTGTTTACCTCGCTTCCTGCTGTCCTGCCCGTCTCCCTGTCTCCCAGCCCACCACCTTGTCCAATGTCCGTCCCACTGTCCGCTGCCCGTTGTCCTGTCCGCTCCCCCGCTCTTCACAGGCACAGACTACTGTCCGCTGTCCGCTGTCCGCTGTCCTGTCCGCCCCCGCTGTCGGCGGACACCCGATGGTCGATGTGCGGCCCTCTCTGAGCCCCGGGGGCGGGGGTGTGTGCTCAGCCGGTCCGTCCCGAACCGATCGGTCTTCCGGACCGGCGCCGATCGAAGGACGGGCCGTGAAGGTCGTCTTGGTGTGAAAACATGGCCGGGACATTGGACAGTGGACACAGAGCTCTGGAGATCACAATGTATCGGCCACTTGAACTATGAATGGAAGTATTGAAACTAATGAAGTTATGGCGGGATGCTATGAGCCGTAGTTGTGACCGTTTGGTCTGGGTTCATAAATGCCGTTACAATGAGAGTGAAGGCAGTAGAAACCTAACTCATCAGGCCTTATCAACGGCCTTACAGGTCTATTATCTACTAAAATTTATAGGAGTGATTCGCTATGTCCCTGCTATGAACTTCATATTTTATATCGCAAATTCAGATGTACGCTTGATTTTGGGCTGGTGCGATCAAGCCACCATCTTCGTCCGTCAACAGTGAAGCCTATGTGACGCCGCCGTGATCCGCGTTCCGATCCTGATTTTATTGCCCGGCTGTTGACAAAGGCTTGTGATTTATTGGCTATGGACGGCACTTTCGCCCTCCCCTATCCGTGGTGGAACGGTGGTGGGAGTCTGATCGAGCCGTCAGTGCCCCACCATAGTGCGAGCGGAATGTGGGGGAGGGAGGGGGAGTGGCAATGAATGTGGGGATGGGGAGGGGAGATATTGGTGTGGGTGGGGCGAGGGAATACCGAGAGCCGAGATTGGCGGGAGCAGTGGCGGACGTAGAGAGCAGTGCCGTATCTTCCTTGATTGGTATTGGGTATTGGTGTTATTTATTGTTGCTCATGAAACAGGGGTGACGGGGTCATTACCCGTTGGGTCGTCTGATGCTTAGATTTGTCGGGACGTCAATATCCATACATCTAAAACAATTAAATATCTCGCAGATATTCGTGTGGCAGAATGGTAATTCCAGGACACTATTCGTCACATTCTAGCTCAGTACATTAAGCGTCGCTGAACGAACCTGCACCTCAAATGAGAGCCCGAATGAATAGGCATCGTTAGTGATCAAGAGCTGGTAATGAACTTATGACGATAAGTTTCGGTTTATGAGTGAGCGTACGGTCGCCGCGGAGTTTTCCTTCCATTCATCATAAACTAGTTAACTAATAGCGAGAACGAGCCATTGTTGAGCGGTGTCCTAAGTAGTTAATCTTATAAATTTGATATACATTCATTTCATTAAAGGCATGTAATTTTCCGGTAGACGATTTGAATGGATTGATCTTCGTTCTCATTATGAGAGTATCTGAAGTCTAAATTACCTAATGTTACCTCTTCTTTACATTGAAAGTGTGTCGTACAATGTCCATTTATCGTCATTTAGGTTTGTTAGGTACTGTCGTTATGCATATGAATATCTGGTCTAGTAAAGTTGCCTAGGAATCATATCATTCCATTGCAGAATGGCAGACCTGTTTCTGTATCATGATGAACCAATTGGCAGCACCGTTCCGCCCTGACCCATTACGTCACCCCCCCCCCCTCCCCTCCTCTTAACTGTCGTTCGGCGGCACCTCTGTAAAAGATGCGGTACAGGCTGGGGACGGGGATGGGCGGGTCACTCCTGGGCGGGGGGGGGGGGGGGGTCCGCGGATTCCTGACAGGCCCGGTCGTTCCCGGCGGGGTCGGCGAGTGACGGCGGCTTTACAGGACACCCGGCCAAGTGTCAGTCGGCCTCTCAGGAGCCATTTCGGCCGCGGCAGGAAAGAGACCTGACAGAGGAAAGAATAGCCTAAGTATTCGGGGCTGAACTGCGCGGTATTCTGCATCACATCTGGGATCAGATGCCATGGTTTTTACATTTATGATTCAATGATTTTATGGTGAGTTGGTGTCTTCTCGAATATATTATTTTTACCCCGACTTAATGAGATTAACCCTTCTTCAGAGATTAATCAATCTCCACAGTTTCGACCGCCTTATAGGTTGTGTCAAACAGTTCAAAAATTTCTTCCAGGAATGCCTAGTCAAAATCATCCAGTTATCCAAGTACGGGGACCCGCAGTTGCTACTGTACAGCGACTCTGAGTAAATTATCCCAGCACCGTCACAGGGAACAACGATAAGCTGTCAGAGGGCACGCATAGAAAACTTCAGCTGCTCTTGTACAGGGACCGGCAGTCGATATCAACGTTATCGGTTGTTTCTGGGCAGGACAGACGGTTAGACTTGGGGTTCGTGTACAGGGTGTCTCAAAAGTTCGTTTACACATTTCCCATGTCAATAAAGCATATAAGAACCGGCCAAAAATCTAAGGTTTTGGTGTCCGTGTGTACACTAGAGAAATATGCATGCTTTGACAACTGATTCGGAAGGTTGGAAACCAAACCCTTTGCTGTATCTCCAAAAATATTTGCCCATACCGATTTTCGTCACTCCGTCAGCTGCCGGAGGCTGATAAAAGATTACCAGCTTTCAAGCTCTTGTAGGGGAATCTCCTGCAGTTTCTGCGTCGGATTTAGGTTTGACGAGCTCCCCGGAAACATCCGCTTCTCCCTGAAAGCCGACAGCTTGCATCGACACCATCCGTGAGTATTTTGTAGGTCTTCTCTGGCGCTAACTCCTTCATGAATGACTGGCGCCGACTTCCCAAGCACCATTTTCCTTTTCAAAACAACCCCATTCCTGAACAAATGGGAAGTGCCAGGGGCAATTTTTTCGCAGCATATCGTAGCAGAATGTGTCGGCCATCTGTTTCTTAGACACATTTTGCAAATTTTGCAAATCCCGAACGCTCGTCATTCCCAATGCCAAGACCTTCGCTGGGTTCCGGAGTGTTTTCCTCAGGAGAGGTTCTGCTTTGTAAACGGCCAAAACCTGTCCATCGTGCGGTTTTGTCCGGATTTTGTGTGTAAAAGAAAGCTATTTGCTCCAGATCTGCCTCTTGAAACTTCGTTAGATAAAACTTTACATTAATTGACACTTTTGGAGGGTCATTTGTCCTCGGCATTGTCGATTTTCGCATTATTTTCCCTCAAAATTTAGCGTTATAGATATTATAAACAATTTTAAATGATATTTTGTCTTTATTTTATGATGACCTGCAATTTTTGAAACTGGGTAACCTCTGTCTGTGAGCTTCTAGTCAGTTTTCAATAGTTAGGACTGCATTTTCAGCTGCTTTCCGGAGCACGAGTCTGCTGCGGTACAAGGGTCGTTCAAAGCGCTGTTAGTCTCGCATGGTTTTGTCCTTCAAAAATTTTAGCCACCGTTTTTATTAGATGACCATCATGTTGTACTCATCCTCGCCGACACTTTGCCATGTGTCATTTCCGACCTAACCATTCCCATTACTCGTGAAGCAGAGCGTTTCTCAGCCGACCCGAGTATGCGACCTCCATTTTCATGCCTGATCCATGGTCAGAGGTGAACCTTTTTGTGAGCTCATGAAGGGTCGAATGCGCTTGAAAACAATGAAGCTGCTTGAGGAAGGTTGTTACCAATGCCCATGCAAAATTTCGACTGTTAATTTCTTGTTGATTCAGAATTATTGACAAGAAAGCATGGCTGGTACCTGTAAGCGAACTTTTGAGACACCCTGTACAGTAGCAACTGCGGGTCCCCGTACCGACTCGTGTCTAACATGCATTGCTCAAGCCTTGACAGGCGTTTGTAAACCCTTTGCTGCTTACAGCAAACAGTGTTTTTACTCCAGCATACTTGTTTTCGTGTGTACGAAATATCCAGTCCGCTTTATTCATATGACCGTCTCCGCGTGGCGGTAATGTATTTTCATTTGCTCACTAAACCTAGATGGCAATGTATTTTAATTTTCCACAATATTCAAATAAATTGCTCTATCTCGTTCCATCCTTGTTTTGCCACTCGCCACCCTGTGTTAGAAATGTATGGTGGCTGGTGACCGCACTTCTCGTACTCTGTTGCTGAATGCAGAGTTTGCAATCGTAGCTGAGAATGTGTGGCGACCTGGCGACAGGTGACCACGATGCCCGTATTCTGTTGGAGAGCCTCCGGCTGGAGCTGGAAACGTGTGATGACTGGTGACCACAATATTCGTATTCCGTTTCAGAGTCTCCGCTCAGAGCTGGATGCCATCATCGGTCACCGTTTGTCGGACCCGGGACAGACTGACTGGCAGCGGCCCTCGCACGAACGCGACGTGCTCAGGTGAGGAGTGACGTCCTATGTGTGCGTAGGTTACTCGATCGGGACGTGCTTAGGTGAAAAGCGACCTCATTGGTGAACTCGGATAACACTGACTTTCTGGGGACCAAATAGACTTGGAGTTTGGTTCAATTTTAGGCTACTGAGCTCTTCCTAATTAAACAAAAGACATAACGTTTCATCAAGCTTGGTGCTCCACAATCCGTTATGTTTTGTCGGCTACTTCATATCACCACTAATTCAGATAATATGGCCACGTCGGCTAAAGACCAACCAACCAACACGACCTCCCAGTTTTTCTCGCGCCATTCCGAGCTAAAAAGTCACCCACATTGCCCAGATTGCGAACAAAAACCGTCTCAGGTTCCGGCCGGGGCGCACGTCAGGCAAACCGGCGCGACGGTGGCGCGTCGTTTTTGTCTCTTCCGCGCCGCTGTGGTCGCGTTGACAAAGACTACTTCCGCGCGGACTCCGCACAGCGGGCGGACGTCCGCCGGGGCTGTGCGGAGCGGAACGGCAGGAAAAGTCCCCTGCTGTGAAGGCAGACATCGGAGCCGGCTTCCTGCACCAACTCTGAGGACAGTTCGGCTTGGCTCTCAGACAGCTTGAATTTAGACTCGATTCGAATGGTATTCGGGATGTGCTCCCCAGGCGGGGAGAGCAATGGCAGGAGGGATGCCGTGCCATCAAGTTTGGAATGTGGAGCGAGATTGTCATTGGTTGGATGATTCGGCTTTATCCCGGTGGCAGGACATTGTGCACCATGGCGTCAAATCGAGCGGCTTACATGGATAGCATCGGTGCTGTCGATATAATTGCATTTCGGAGACATTTGATCTCATAGGGATTTCGTAATCCCCGTGTGTTGCCGTCCGGGCACTAGATGAACTCTCGGCTGTGTCTATTTTATGGCACCATCATCATTTTAATTATCCAACTTCCAGTATTAAACGTTATATACTTGGCAGCGAGTTTAGAAACTTTTACCGCTGGCCGCACCGGTCACCGTTGCGACTCTGCGGTGTCCTGGACATAGGTCACCGACATCTGCTGCCCGCGGCGGGCTGATGAACTCGGTCCGTCATTCTCGGAGAACAAACTGCCGGTGTGCGGGCCAGGAACTCGAGCCGTTCCGGATATATGAGCTGCAGGATTAGCTAAATTACACACACGTCGACTGAAGCCCGGTCGCTGATGGAACTGGAACTCGGGAACAATTTACAACGTGCGGGAAATGGGAGTGGGTTATGTTTCAGTGTATGGAGTTGGGCTCATGGTAGGTGATAGAGTTCTGGGCGGCTAGCTCTGTGAGAGATCTAAGGCGGACACTTTTTGGAGTATGGAGTCTAGCTAGATGTAAGATTATTATTAATATTATTAGGGCAAAGCTACGTTGGGTTACGGACCTTGGTCGTGAACATTTGTTTTCTCTTCATTGTCAGGCGCTCCATTCTCCGTTCAATTTTCGGTGGATAACTAACGAGAAAAGAAAGAGCATACATGCATATCTGCCATTCAGCAATTAACATTCCTTGACATTTATAGTTCAAACATTTGAACAGTCGTCTCTCCTCATTAGCGTGTTCGTCATTATTGCTGCTTCAGAGTGGAGAGCCATTACTGGAGCATCTCAACAGGAGAGATTCGCCTCAATGGAAAGATAGGCTTTGAGACGCTGTCCTCGATACTAGGCAAACAGTACATTTGTACGGACCCGTCCTCAAAGCACACCCCCAGCGCGATATTCTGTCCCAAAGCACACCCCTGCTCGATATTCTGTGAGACATTGTTACCATTTAGCGATTCCGCATTCAGCTCCTGTAACTAGCCTCCGCTCCTCAGTCCGCTCCGGTAACTAGCCGTCTGCTCCTCAGTCCGCGCCGGTAACTAGCCTCCGCTCCTCAGTCAGCGCCGTTAACTAGCCGTCTGGTCCTCAGCCGCGCCGGTAACTAGCCGTCCGCAGCTGGTAACTAGCCCGTCCGCAGCTGCTGATCAATGCCTCCCCGCCAGTTATCTGGTTATCTGGCCGGCCGGAAGTGTTCCCTTATTGAGCCACCGCTGACGGGGGCCCTCTCTGGCGGGGAGGGGAGCGCGGATGTCGGTCTGATGAGCAGCATGCACGGGCCACTAATGCGAGCTGCGTGCGATCAGGATATTCTTTCAGGTTCTCCACTGACGCTACTACTGATGAGGGGTCGTTTGCAATGTGGAGCTCCGCTCGTATGATCGGCCGGAAGGACGGTCGGACAGTTGCGTGCTGATTGCTTTGTTGTGATGCTGTCCACCCAATTATTGTACCGGATACAAAGGTCAGGTTATCACGAATGATGCGTGGTATATAATATTTTTGCTCATTATTGTCCTCAGAAATGGCGTTCTTATTGTTGTTCATAATGTCAGAACGCAGAGCTTATTCTTACTTAGCCGATCAGAGACCTGTTTTACGATCCCGCTCAATATTTCTTACAGACACGGTCAGTCTGCCGACCTTATAGGCGAAGCGATCTAGCTACAGACTGACCCAGCGTCCCCGCGGGGCACTGACCGTCACTGCGGTCCCATTTCCTCGTGTCGGTCTTACTGACCGCTGAGGCGGCCTGCGTCGATTGCGGCGCAGAAGTCTTCTGCCGTGAGACGATTGCGGGGCGGAAATCTTCTGTCGTGAGACAATTCCTGCGCGCTTCTCTCCGACGGCGATGGACAGCGGGGCCGCGCTGAGCAGCGCGCTGAGCGGGACAGCGTTCAGCGGGACTCCCGGGGGACTCGTTGGCGACCGTACCGTGCCGGATCGTCCGTCTATTCCCGGTCATCGCGGGACGCGCCGTAATGGAGAAGGTGCTGCGCTGACGGGCGCTGACGTGGGGGTAAAAGTAGAGTGACTGCGGGTGACGTGGGGAACGGTAGAGTGACGTGGGGGAGACGGTAGAGTGACGGGCGGAATGGGTCATGACGGCGCGGTGACTAGCGTTGTTAATGGATGGGAAAGCCGGTAGAAGGCCTGGGTTTGTCTTGTTCTTTTTAGCTGATGCTGTCTGGTATTTTGTTTCTCAAAAGGTACAAAAGGTATGATCAATTGCGGATAGTATCCATCCGCTGTTCATAAATTTTCATTCATTTTGGTTGAATGAAGCCACGCATTTTTACTTTTGCTGTGGATCCCATTACCCATGATTGGCTCACCTTCATAGTTTCCATTTTGATTTCCCCAGACGTATTTGGTATTGGTGTCAGTCGTAGTCGATTTGGAAATATCTGTCTGAGCAGCTCAGCCATCATGCACAGCTCAGCTCGGCATTGAATCATGAATTGATCAATGGAGGTTATATTCCAGCTCAGACCGCCGGGATAAACTGTGTTGGGTTGCAGACCACATCAAAGCATAACCGTCCTCCCTTTTCCGTCGTGTCTCAGCCACACCCAATTCAGATTCACACCGAACTCCCGCCACCTTCTGTCTACCTCGGCGGCGCTAATAAGCAGCGGGATTAAATCCGTCTGGGGGTCAGCCGGGCTACCGACGAAGGCGGTGCCTCCCCGCCTTCCTCAGACGCAGCTGTAGACCATGGGCCCGTTGCGCTCCAAGTTCACGGCAGATGGATCCACTCCGGCCGGGTCACGGCCGTTTAGACGACGGCTTCCGGCCGGCTGATGGAGGCGGGGGTGCACCGGGCAGGGTTCATGGGATGAGTTGACTCCGGCTGAGTGAGGATGCGGACTGGTGGAGAAGTTCTGGTGGTCTGAGAAGGCGATGTTAGGTAGAGGAGCTCTGAGGATGCTGGTAGTTGGAGATGGTGTTGAAAGTTTAAATAGATGCTGACAGTTTGATGAGACGTTAGGTACGGGGACCCGCAGTTGCTACTGTACAGCGACCCTTGGTAAATTGTCCCAGCACCCTCACAGGGAACAACGATAAGCTGTCATAGGGTACGCACAGAAAACCTCAGCTGCTGTTGTACAGGGACCGGCAGACGATATCAATGTTATCGGTTGTTACTGGACAGGACAGACGGCTAAAGTTGGGGTTCGTGTACAGTAGCAACTGCGGGTCCCCGTACTGCGATTTTAGTTTGTGTATCGCTTTTCAGCAGCCAGCTAACATTAGTAGTGAGTACGCTTTGAAGGAGCGTGGATATATAGGAGAGGTTTCTGTGGAACCTCGGGGGTATGCGCTTTAAGTGAAAGTAATGGCCAGCGGTTGGCAGTCAAGCACAAGTTTTCGGAACAAATGACGGTGCCGCGTCTTCAAGGTGCCAGTGGAGTATTGGAATGCTCGCTATGTTTGAAATACTACCAGACGTGTCATTTAGCAGCGTTCGTGGCCTGGGCGCACCTTTCGAGTTATTCACTTAGCGTGTGATGGATATTGGACTGTCGAAGTTTGTAGTGTAGTCGCTAATGGCATGCGTGATCATCAATCGTTATGTTTTGTCATGTGTCCTCATGAATATTTTCATCACGACGGAAGCTACGAAATATCCCTTGCACTTAATGTCGTGTAACTCACGATAAAGCTAAACAGACTTTGACAGGGACTCTACCTGTGCCAGCGGTGTTCCCCCGCCTTCCCAAACTCTTATGATCTTGCTAACTCTTCTGTTCTTTCCCGTCTCCTCACCATCCCACCCCACTTCTGCTGTAACCTCTGACACTTCATCACCTCCGTTGCCAACATCATCACGCACCAAATGTAGTGTTTTGCGTGTATACATGTGCGACGCTGATGGAATACAGTTACGGCTTATTCGGATTCCCTCCTTGTACAAGACCGGCTCTGTCGACGGAGGCAGAGACCGCGGTGGCTGCGACTGCGGCGGCGATGATGGTGCCGGTTCCGCCCCGGCTGTCGGAAGGCCATCGACCAGCGAGGAAGCGTGTCCGGTGCTGTTTGGCTTCCATGTCCGTCTGTTGGTGGATCACCGCTATCGGAGAGCGGTCGGGTCGGTGGGGACGCCAGAGACGCCGGCGGCGGCGCCATCTCAGATGACCGGGCGGCGGGACTGTGTCTGGCGGGGAGTAGGATCGGCGGGGCTGTGTGTCTGGCGGGGAGCGGGGACGGCGAGAGAGGGCGGGCGAATATTGGGCCAGTTGTGATTGGGAGACACATGGATGAAGTGGTTAATTTTAGTGATCTTGGCTTCCACGAAGACTTCTCGTTGGGTCTTCCTACGACGTCTGGACTTGGAGGTGAAAATTGTGCATTGCAGCAACGCAATGTGGATTGTGTGTGGAGCCAGAAGGGAGAAGCATAGTAATGTTTTGTTGATTCCATTCACATCTATTATCATTTTGTTGTTTTTACTGCTCCTTTCCGTCCCTACTACCCACTGCGTCTGTTCGCTTTTCTTCGCTGTTGGTGGTAGGCTGTGCCGCAAAACACCCGTGTCGTGCGGGACAGTCTACCCGTCCAGGCCGTCCGCGGCTCAGTCGTCCTACCACGCACGTCGGCACTGTGGTAAACATTGGGACGGTGCCCAGCCCCCCTCCCCCCCCCCCCCCAGTACCCAAACAGCTGGCTACCTGCTGTCGATGCCAGCTCACCGATACCTTCGGACACGCATGAGAATCGTCGGCTGGCTCCTCTCTCAAGGTGCCATTTCTGAGGAGTTTTTCTGACAGTTCGGAGCGCTGCTCTCTGTCCGGTGCGGCGGGCAGGACACGTTCTGGGGGAGGGGGAGGGAGAGTAAGGCCGTAGACCGTAGCGAGGCGGTGTTTTGCACTGCCCGCGACCTTTTTATGTTGCATGACTTCAGGATTCTGACGTTTCATTCTTCATGAGTCGTCGGACTACGTGCTATTATATGTATTTGTTGGTCACTTGTATTGCTATGCTTATGAAATATGACGTGCATAGCAATGACGGCTTGCCGCACTGCGATGGATGTTACCGAACTGAAAGTTGCATTATGGAATAAAGATGGTGCTTACATTGCATTCCCTTCAACACCTAGTTCGCCAAACCGAACTAATGACGCGAAGACATGATTATTATTTTCGTGCAACTGCTGATTTTCTCTGCTGTTCTGTTGTGCCCGTGACCATTGCCCCTAGCGGGCATTGTAACCGCAGCCTGATGACTTGAGAGCACCGCTTATGAGCCAGCGCAGTCCTGAGACATTACTTTGCGGCATTACGAGGCTTATCAACTTGACGATTTGTGGGAGCATGCTATAAGCTCATTAGTGTCTGACCTGACGGGTGAATACAATACCTACCATCACCCGTCCCCCGCCGGTGACTTCCGGTGACCGTCACTATTACCCGGTCTACTGCCGACCGTAGGAGATCCACCCCGTAATACCCGTGTTGTTCCCGGCCCGACTGGCCACCGGTCGCCCCCGGCGCGGCGCGGAGTGGGACGGTGGTCGATGTGCAATACGCGCCCGCTGAGGTGTCGTCTGCTCACACCGGCGGTCGATGACAACACGCCGCCGGCCCGGCTCTGTTGGCCGACAATCAGCCACAAATGGGGGCCGCTCACCGAGCGATGGCCCCGATATGGCGAGCCGCCGCCCGCGGGCCGGTCCGAACCGAGCCGGGCGGGATGATGGTATATTTTTTCGGTAATCGTGTTGGTAGGTGGAATAAAGCTGTCGCTCGCGATGTTTTTTTATGAATTTTGTTAAAATATCTTATCTAGTCGACACTCCACAACCACCTAATCACAGCTCTAGTTTTCGTAACCCTTGTAGCTATACGCCGTTAAAGGTAGTGTGCCACCTTTGAAAGATTTCCCATTTTATTTTTCCTAGGATAAGAAGCTTCTGTTTTTACCTAATATCGCAAAAAAAATCAAAAATGGGCCTGGAATAGTGCCTTTTTCGCCTAAAAGTTTTTCGGTTTTTAGATATGTATAACAACTGTAGTGGGCTCACCTGCAAACAGGCGTCGGGCAACAATCGCGAATGCGGCGCACTTGTGACAATAAGCAAAGGTCATTATAGTGTTACGACCATACGACGTACGGGAATGAGTTATCAGCTGTCTAATCGTATACAACACAATGTCGAGCCTTAAACTGTAAGCCCGTATTGTATTGTTTCTTTTATTTGGCTGTCGAACATTATTTATGGTTTGAAATATGATTTTATGTAAAATAATTGATATGAAAAAGCCGTCTTATAAGTTATGACCCCATTTCACCACACGCAAGTGGCAGAAATGACAATGATCAGCTGACGCATTTTTCTTGGCCGAAGTCAGAGCGCGCGGCCCGACGCACCACGCGTATTTGGAAATTCCGACCTCGACGAGCATCAGAAGCCACCTAACAGGCGTGTTCGAAACCGCAGGAGATGATGATGAACGGGTTTATCGAAACTTGATTGGATGAGCATATCGGTAATAGCGATTTCAGTGTGTGCATTTATTGTTCATAGTGGTGTGAAATGTGGTTGGGGTACGACCGACAACCCGTCGGGGCGAATTTCGCACTGGGGTACTCAAAATTTGAAGAATTTAAGACGTTTCCATGAGTTTTGAAGGTATGGATAAGTTCTAAAAATCCGGTTCTCCTTATCTGGGCCATTAACTCCATACGGTCCAAGAAAGCTGGCACACTACCTTTAAATATCAACCAAGTCGCCCCAGTTGCCGTACTACCACCACACTTCTCGTTTTTTTCCCACCCTGACCAGTGAAAAACGGATCGTTATCTATCCTGTTCTTTCTCGGCAGACTGATCGCCGAGCTGGTGACGAGTGACGACATCCCTCCGGCCAAGGGCTCACCGTGGTGCGAGGCGTTCCGGCGACGACAGCACGGGTCGCACGACTCAGACGGAGAGGGAAAGAGCTGGCGGGACGAGAGTGGGGCGGCTGAAAGGAGAGAGGACCGGAGGAGCGGCGAGGAGAGAGCGTGGAGGAACGCGGACCGTCCGCCGGCGAGGGACGCGCGCAGCTGGAGGGACGACAGAGGGTCGTGGAGGGACGGTGCTCGGGGTGGGGACTGGCGGTAGGTGCGTCCGGGGCCGGTCGGCCGGGCGCTGGAACCACGAACAGTACAGCTGTCAGCCGTCCAAACTGGTCCGCGAAGGGGGCAAACCACGACTCTGGAAAAACTCAGCTGTGGATCTAACCGTGTTGGTGGAGGGAACTCCTACCCGGCTAGTGCAATAGCTCAATAGCTCAGAAGGGCTCATTGTTGTGTCTCAAAGCTGCAGCTCATCGTAGTTATTTCTCCGTCGGTAGTTGTGGCTCGTCGCACTGTTGTTGAGCAGCGTGGTTGGTGCCCAATGTTCAATGTCCATGCCGACCCGACCTGTACCGTACCACCACTGGTCTCCTCGCCCGCTCCTAGCGATCCGAGGCAGGCTCTGACGACGCCTGATATGTCGGCTGTGCCACTACAATAACGAGACCGTGCACGTGGGCGCATCACTCAGCGCACGTGCTCGTGTGATAGGGTCGCGCGTGTCACACCAAGTCTGACACGTGATCGCCCGTGTCATGTTACGAGCTATTGTGTCTGTGTGTGTTTGTTAGTGTGTGTGGCCGAAGATGGATGTTAGTTGGTGGATGTGTGTTCTGTGGAACAGCCTGCGAGTATATGTGGTGCTTGGCTGTCGGGGACAGTGTTTCTACGCTAAATATGGCCGGGGTGGCTGTATTTTGTTTTGTGTGACTGGTGCTGGCAGTTGGTTATATGGAAATTGGAAACTACCGTTTTTGTTAATGATTTTTTTTTAGGGCAATTTGCAGTTGATAGAGGTGCATAGAGGTTTGCATAGCGGTGCAATTGGACAAATCAATAGCTTTTTTTCTCAGGATTTACGTTACAAACATGATTCGTCATTTATTCAGAGCGAATGTTGGGCAATAAATACTCGGCATTGCGCCATTCATTTTTGTCCAAGGCAATGGTGACAATATACGGGCTTTTCCATGGTTGTTTTATATTGTTCTGCCTTGCAGTTACTCGTGCTGTATTTGACAAATGCTATATTAACAACTTATATGAATACCTACTTCTGTTTGTTAATTTGTTTACAATGGTCATTACATGTCAAGGATACGCTAGTGATCTCATGTTGGTCTTTTAAACATGAAACCGTTTACCGCTGCAATTTTGTGTTTCTGTCATTGATGCACATATGTTGCACTTTTTCTAATACACGAATCTGTGTTGCACACAGCATTAGTCTTTCAATAAGTGAAGCCCGTGAAGGAGCTTCCTTAATTGTCGGGCAGATATTTCTGTTCAATTTCGCTCCGTCTCGCGTCCTTGTGTGCAGTTCCCAGTGGACCCTGCCATCCAATCAGAGATCGAGTGACAAAGTAAAGCTCTTCGCTGATTGGTCGAAATTAAACACAAGCCTGTTTGCGTTCGATTCATTTGTCTCATCTGGGTTTATTCGCAATGTCTATCCAGCTCCACTTCTAACGGTTATTTCTTACGCCGTTGTCTGGCTCTCTAATCAGTAATCGTTATCAATGACATTTTCGAAATTTGTAACGTTCGGTGGTGACGACATAACCATGCGAAATATCTGTGTGTTGCAGACCAAATGTGCAAAATAACTTGCACCAAATGTCCGTGAGAAAGAAGGCTAGTTGTAGTAGCGAAGTGAGGCCTCCCGCTTTCAAAGTTGTGGACATCCACTCAGTTTTGCACCATGTTTTAGGTCAGAAGTTTGAACTATTTCCTGTTGATTGCGGCGAAAGCAGACAGCATTGGGCGGGTTAGTGGCTAACTATAGCCAAACTTTGGTGAATGTGATCAGTGACCAGCAGTGTGCGTTTGATTAGGTATGCATTGGGAAAAAAATCAAAGGCGGTACTCTGCCAGTCCTCGCAAGTTAAACTCGGCTTTCAAAGAATTACATGATGATCCTGAGATTTTGAAGAGACGATATTTATTCGTGTGGCGCTGAAGTTAGTTTTCGCTGCTCGGTCCCGCCATTCGGAGACCTGGGGCTCAGGAAGATGGTGGCTTCATTTGACAAAAGCCTCTTATTTCGACTGAGGCCACCAGAGGATGTATTTCTGGCAAGCGGCAGTGGCTGATCTCTCTGAGACACTGTGTGTGCTGTGTGTCTCCGACTGGTCCGAGCGATATGCTCTCACACACAAGGCAGCTCGGAAACTGTCCAAATTGCTCGCAGCCTAAATCAAAGGCCTGCCGCCAGATGAGAAGGCAACTATTCACTAGTTCTTTACAGTGCAATAGACGACTATGAATCACTAGAAGTGGTCTATGATTGTGCATTAGTTTGTGTTGATCAATCTTCCCAGAATCCGTTTAAATTACGGAATCATTGTTATAACTATTTTGCGTTTTTTAGACGTGATATTATGTAGGCACAACCAATGCCCAAAGTTATGACGAGCAAAGCCATAACAGACTGCTGGCGTCTCAGTCAGAGCCCAGCGATTTTACATTGGCGAAGGCGGGTCGTTTCGTGGAAAGGTGATGACTCCGTTTGGCCCCAAGCGAACTCACCTACGAATGTGCCCGAGCTCCACCAGCTGCTCACACCTTGTGCGCTCGAAAATACACATGACGTCTCGGGAAATAAACGAAACGAAACATCAACTCCTCATCGTCTGGGTGCGAAAATAAACGCGCAGCAAAGCTGAAGAAGAAACGAGAGGTCGTAGGCGAAGACGTGCAGGATATCTCTGACAAACGTTTCGTCAGTGCTTACCTCCGCCTAATGAACGTATTCACAGATTCTACTATTTATTTATTTATTTCTATTTTTGCACGCATCATTTTATTGATGTAAATGCAAAAATTAACTGCTTTAAACCTGCAACCTAGCGTAGTGGGATGATGTCATCCCCTAATTTTAACGTCACTCCTCATTGAACCTTTTCGTTTTTCTGTTGACCGTCTAACAGCGCTTCCTTCAAATCTGTCCGACACCTGCCAAAGAACCGCACTCCACACTGGCCACTGGGAATCATCGCGTTAGCCGTCTGACAGCACCGTCGCCCGCTTTTCCACTCCGCAGTCCCGTCGCCGTCAATGGTGAGTGGGTAAAAAGCGGCACCTAATCCCGGATGGTCTTTTTGCGGTGGCTGGTGCGCTAATTCCTCTCAGAGCTCGGCCCAGAGTGGTCTGGGGGCGTGTGAGAGAGTCGGTCTCTTCGCGCAGGGATAGGGTGCTTTTGTAGGATGTCGCCTTGCGGAAAGCCGGTGACCGCTGTGTGCGTGGTAATACGTGGGAGCGCATTGGGGATCGCATATTTTTTTTTTTTCTAAATAGTCCGTCACCCATGAACAGATGACCAGGAGTGCCCCCACCGCAGTCCCAGCGACTCACAGAACCTTACGTTAACACCAGACAAAACATAAGAGTATGTACTAGTCGCGGCACTCCCTGCTAAGAAGGTGAAATAAACAAAAGGCAAAATTACTATCTAGCATGCAAAAGAGAGAAGTAGTCACGCCAAATCCAGCAAATGACTGTCCGCTATACCGATACTACCAGTACCCCATAGTATGATAAAGCACCATGCAGAACAGAATCGGATGCAGGAAGAAGGCAGGGAGGGAGCATGCAGTTTAACATGCAAACATACAAGACCATACTCAGTTCATGCAAACAAACACGCAACACCCACACCCACACCCACTCACAGACACTCACACACTCATGCTGGGCAGAGGCAAGGGCTGGTCAGGTTCGTGCATAGTCAGTCTGCCGTCATCCGGTGCTCATCCACTAAGCAGAGCTTGTTGTGGAATGGGCACCAGAAGACGGCATGTTGCGGGTGAGATTGGTAACATCACGGTACATAGAGAACTGTAACATACAATCTAGGTTAAGTACAGGTCTAAGGCAGTGATAATAAGATCTTGATCGAACGTTGTAGGATAGTAAACTTGTATATGTAGAGACAAATAATACCAATGACAGTTATAGGGGTGTATGCAGGAAGTAATGCTTTGTAAACTTTTTCAAATTGTCTTTGGACAATTCACAGGCAGAATCAAGAGTAAAATCAGGAGCAATTATAGCATTCCAGATTCTTGGCCCAATCCACTTACTTACACGAGTCCGGTAAAGTTTTTCAGAGAAAGGTTCAAAAAAGTGATTTCTGCTTCTGGTTGTTATGCTGGGCGAATTTATAAAGATGAAGAGATCTTCAAATTTCTCAGGTAAATTACACAAGAGTTTCTTGTGCATGAACACAAGCAGCTGTTGTTTCGCTATGGCGTCTACCTTTAAAATTTTTAGGTTTTTAAAGAGATGTTCTGTGTGAGCCAACCGATGTTGTTGTGCAACGATGCGCACAGCTCTTTTTTGCAGGAGGTCGATCTTCCTCAAGTAGGTAGGAAAAGTGAATCCCCATACGAGGCAACAGTAATTGAGATAGGGCAGGATGAGTGTATTGTATAGAAGTTTCAGTGAATTAGTGTCAAGGAAAAATTTGGACCTATTTAGCATGCCAATGTTACGACTGATGATGGAACTCAAGTGATTTATATGATAACTCCAATTTAGGTGAGGGTCAATAATCACACCAAGATATTTTACTTTTTCTTCAGCAGGAATATCATCATTGTTCAAAGTAACATTTATTTTGGCATTGGTATGTGATTTGCTATAAAGTTGATAAACGGTTTTCTTTGTATTTAATGAGAGTTTGTTTGCTTTCAACCACTCACATAAGGTGGGAAGTTGTGCGTCAAGGTCATTTTGTAGGTTTGCAGTATTTGTATTATCAAATATCACAACTGTGTCATCAGCAAACAGAAGAAATTTGGCGTTATTACAGACATTTGGCAAATCATTAATATAAAGTAAAAACAAAAGCGGTCCAAGTACCGAGCCTTGAGGAACTCCCATTTCGATTGGCATAAATTCTGAACTTACTCCATCGTACTCTACTTGTTGCTGCCGACCAGTGAGATAAGAATGTATAAGTTTTAAAGCAACATCTTGAATACCATACAGCTTTAATTTAGCTATTAGTATGTCGGGATCAACAGTATCAAACGCTTTTTTGAAGTCTAAATAGATGGCTATTGCAATTTTCCCTTGTTCAAATACATTGGTTATGTGCTCTTGTAAAAGCAACAAAGGCATATAAGTGGCCAGCCCTTTTTGAAACCCAAATTGACTGCTGTTGAGGATTTTGTTTTGTGTAAGAAAGTGCATAATCCTTTTGTGTAAGATTTTTTCCAGTATTTTTGAAATATATGGTAATATACTAATGGGTCTATAATTGTTCATGTGACATTTCTTCCCACCTTTGTGAATAGGTTTAATAATTGCACATTTCATATTGTACGGAAATATTCCTTTAGTCAAACACAGGTTAACAAGGTGTACTAAGTGATTTAGTATTGGTAAATAGCTTTTCTTGAAGATGCTAGCATTTATATTGTCCAAGCCAGCTCCAACATTTCTTGTTTCTTTTATTATTTGATTCAGCTCATCCGTGTTAGTAAGAGGTTCCCAAGACTTCATGGTTCTGGTTACATTAGCTTTAACATTACCACATGGATTCACATTATTTTTTGGAATAGCATTTTGCAAATCCCTTCCAATAGATGTAAAGAACTGATTAAATGTTTCTACAATGTCTTTTTTGTCATGCAAAATGTTACCACTTTCATCTACAAACTGTTTTTGAATGTTTGTTTTATGTAATCTGCCTTTGGTTAGTTCATGGAGAAGGTTCCAAGTTTTCTTCGAGTCATCTTTGTTTAATCTTAGTTGCTCTTGTACATATTTCTTTTTGGCTATTCTAATAAGAAGATTTAAGTAGTTCCTGTGCCTGGAATATGCAGTCCTATTTTGTTGTGTTGGGTTCCTCAGTTTAGCTCTAAATAGGTCATTGCGAGTATTTATTGATGTTAGTATTGCTGCAGAGATCCATGGCTTTATCGATCTTGTCTTTCTTGTACATTGTATGTTTTTGCTATATTTTTCAATGCCAGATTTGAAAGCATTAATTAAAGTGTTCGAGGCCTGAGTCGCATCATCTATGTAGAAAAAATCATGAAGCTGATCTTGGAGATATTCTTTAAATTCATCTATTTTTTGATAGTCAAATATTTTTCTCATCCCATGTGAGCAGTCATTGTTGAGCTGCAGTGAGCAGGAAACAAATACTGGGAAGTGATCTGAGAGGTCATGTAGTATTAGACCTGTATTTGAAATAAGGTTCAGATTGTTGC